GATACGTCAACATGTACGACTGGGAGAACTGTTCCATCTTCTGTACTCCTAAAGTCTATACAAATAACATAGGCAATTTAGTTATACTAATTAATGTCAAGAAGCTAAGCAACAACGTAGCGTAAAGAAATGCAGACGACCTTAACACCCTTGTCTAATTCAATTTTCTCGTGAATTGAGGATTGTATTGACCTCTCAAACACTTCACCTCCTAATGCCATTGGCAAACCAGCATATGTTAATGTAATTGCCGAACGGGCATCAAGAACACTTGCACGACCGGTACCGTCATCCTGGTGTGTCAATCAAACTAATTATTAACACACTGTAACCAAATTTCACTCTAATGGTGATGAAATTTTAGGACAACATATGTATGCTTTATAGCAAGAGAAAGCCAGCCCAATTCCTACCAGATACCAAGGAACTTCATTCCTCACAGAAGACGGACGAATTGATTCTTTTTTCCATACTCCACGGAAATTGCGTCTCAAGATATGAGTCTCTTCCTAAGTTAAGGATTCAAAATTGGATCAAAATGTACAATAAAAATTTCGGAGAAAACTTGATTAGTCAGTCATTTTTTACCTTATTCTCGACAATTACGCCCTTTAAACCGCTGTACTCGCATTTGATTGGGGTATCTGATGTAACCAACCCAGTAACCGCCACCACCAAAGGAACCACTGCGCTTGCAGCACTGCATAATTGAGCTATATATAACAATGATTAATTCAAGTTACAGATTCCAAACCCTAGTTACCGAGATTGAGATAGGTTCTAAATAGGGAAAATTGTAATGTAGGCCCTGTATGTTGGTCTCGTTAGAGATTTGGTCCTATAAGTTGTCTTATTCAATTTTACATGCAATTACTATGCAAAATTAGTATTTTTAGTCCTATTTCACTCAAACTTTAAATTTTAGCTGTCGTTTAATGATGTACATAACAAACTCGTAGAAATATATTTATATGGACACTCAAAAATTATAAATGCTCCTCTAATTTGGTTTATAAATGTGTAGTCTCACATGATTAATAAAGTTCTACCAACAGTAAATTAGATGTCGAGTCTATAAATTTTAAATTAGATGTCGAGTCTATAAATTTTCAAGCGTCCATATATGTAAAATGTGTCAAGTTTCTTTGTCGCGTCATAAAATAAAAAAATCATGCAAAATAGGACTAAAAACACTATATTTGCAAAGTTATTGCAGTGTAAAACTGAAACATGACAAGTTAGAGGACTAAACTCCTAAATAGGCCAACATAGAGGACCAAAACTATAATTTTCCCGACTTACCCAAATCCTTCAACTTACTAACCCTAGTTGCAGATTCCAAATCCTCAGCATGCCTGGAACGAGAGAAATTAAAAAAAAAAAAAAAAAAAAAAAAAAAAAGAAGAAAAACAAAAACAAAAACAAAAACATAAACCAAGAAAGTAATTAATCAAACCCTTCCAAGATTACTACTACAGCATAAAAGAGTGCCGAAACAAGGCAGCAAGACGCCCCTTCAACTGGAATCATCTCTGACCAATCAATTGCGACTTTCGACCAATCAATTGCGACTTTTGACCAATCCATTGCGACTTTCAACCAATCCATGGATGCCGAGTTTAAAATAATATCCAACAGGAAAGAAAAAGGGACTAGGGTTTTTCACTTATCTTGAATAGTTTTATATTGAAGCTAGTAGTTATCTTGCTAAGGAAGAAAGGGTATTACTATCCGTAACACTTGGTGGGTTGGGCTGGGCTGGGTGGGGGTGTGGCGGCTCCTTCCACCCTACACCCGGTGATAAACATCGGATGGGTCTTCTGCTGCCACGTGTCCCTTTTATTATTTTTTTAAAACCCCTAAATAAACCCTAGCGAGAAATATATTATAAAATACAAAAAGAGACACGTGACAGCAGAAGATTCACCCGGTATTTATCACTGGGGTAGGGTCGAACAAATCGGGTGTGGCGCGGTGGGCCCCAAGATTAAAATATGAAAAAAAAAAAATTAAGATTTTTTTGATAATATTCTGTATATACAAATGGTATAAAGGTGAAAAGGGTGTAAGTAAAATGTTTTCCGGAACCAAAAGGACAGTAAGCCAGGTTGCACCACCAGCACCAGCCATACCACCGCGGCACCGCCGCAAATCATCCACCGGAGAAAGCAACCATGACGATAACCACCATCCCCTCAACACTTCACCCAATTCAGCCCCCACAGCGCCGCCGTGGACCGTGGCCAATTCCTGTTTGTTGTTTAGCTTGCGGCTGTGGTGGGTGCCGCCGGCGGAGTATTGGAGGCCTACTTGATGTAGTAATTATTTTCGATGCAGGCGTCCGGGCAAGGATGGGTATAGTGAGCCAATTTCCTTCCATCGGAGAAGAAGATTTGATCTTCAAATCAATACGATGCGGTATCAATTTTTGTTTTGGGTGAGTATGTTGGGTCGGTGGTGGTCGGTGGTCGGGAGAGGCGGTGGGTTTGGGGTTATTATAGATAATTTTTGTTTTTAAATTTAATTTATTTTTTATTAATAATTTATTTTTATTTCCATTTTACTTGATGTTTTCTTCGTCAATTTACAGAGGAGTTCTCCTATTTATAGAATCCGAGAGCTCCTTGTTCTGCACTGAATAAACACGCTAGAAGAGATAATGGTTAGTGAGTAGTGACTTAATTAATCATGTACTAAAATAATTAACCACTAAGTTAGAAATAAATAAATAAATCCGATTAAATAAATAAATAATTTTTTGAAGAAAATTAAAACCCAATAAATTAAATTTGACTTTAGATATCCAACAATTTCCAATGCTCATGTTATCAAGATAATTATTTTCTTAAGAAGTTAGTTATAAGTAAAATTGCTCTTAGTTAACCCTGGGAAATTGAACTTTATTTTGTAGTAATTTCACTTCAGCCTCGTGCATCACACGGGCCAAAAATTTAGTTGAAACAAAAATGATTGGAGGGAAATTTAAGAATTAAAAGAAAAATGAGATACATTTCATAAAAATTAAAGGATTAATTGTCTAAAACTCCTCATTTGACTCGCCTAAAAGTAACGCCTATCTTTCATTGTTCTACATTTGAAGGCCAAATCTCATAAATGGTCCCTCATCGTCACATTTAGTCGCACTGTAGTTTTTCATGTCTCAATTGTCTCATTTTCATCATTCATCTCTATAATTCATCTCATTATCATCTCTTGATGTATAAACCTGTTAACTTTAACGGAATATTTTTAAAAACGGATGGAATATTACACTGTTAGAATTATTTTTGATAATTTAAGAATTTTTTCAATAAATAATAAGGTTTATAATTTAAAAATAATATTGCAACCAACAAAAATATAACTTAGAAACCTACTATTTTTACGAAACATTAATTTATATTAATATAAAAAAAATCATCTATATTGTGGATATAATTTAGAAACATATTTAAATAATTATAATATGTCATCTACATATATTCTCATACAAAAATCATTTACATGTTTTATGACCTTATGTTAATATTTAAAGAGCTAATTCAATAATATATGTATTTCTAGTATTTATTAATTTATTTATAATTTATTACAAATAATTGTAAGAATAGAATATTTCATCCAATAAACAAAAGATTTCGCTAAAATTAACAAAATTATAGAACGAAGGACTATATTGAGATAGATTGTAGAGTTGAAGGATGATAATGAGACAATTGGGACATGAGGGACTAAAGTGGGACTAAATTTTAATGAGATTTGGCCACATTTTAATGTTTTATGATTTTTTACTATTAATGAGATTTGGCCACATTTTAATGTTTTATGATTTCTTTTCTTTTGTGAAATAACATTTTTGTCCACGTTTCTTCTTTTCGCTCTTTATACCTCGAACCGTTTCTTTAAGGTGCCGAGATCTGTGAGAAGGCCGAGCTCTTCTTGCCACAGTTTTGGTACATAGAGGGATCATCGAGCGGCCCGCACATAAATCTCCGTTCTTCTAACACCTAAATCTCCGTTCTTCTAACACCGCGTTCTCTTTTTCGACGTAACTCTTGATTTGTTAGGTGTGTAAACAAAGTCCCCACATCAATTTGAAGTGGGAAAGATGATGAGTTTATAAGGTTGGGAGGATATCCCAAAATTGTATAATATAAAGACCAAGAAAAAAGTGTATAATATAAGGACTAAAACTGTAATTATCCCAAAAATAGACGACTGATTTGATTCTCATGTTTGTTAGTAGATGCGATCCTCAACAACTTGTTCAACTATAAACGCAATTCACCCACACACAATTGTCGATTTATAAAACAAAAATTAGCTGAATTTTAAAATATGTCCTAGAACAAATGCGGGGTCGTATTAGATCGATCACGCAACTCTCATGCAACATTCCTTCTTCTTGAAGCTGGCAAATCATCATCAGACAAAACAAGAACAAATTAACCGAATTTTAAATTACTAAATATACAGCAGCACCTATTTAATATCTCTTAATTGGTTACCTTGTTTAGCAGCAGCAGCATCAAGAAGCCTACGTTTATATTCGGCTTCCCTGTCACGAGGTTAAATCGAACCGCAAAAAATAAGGCACTATTTACGTATGTATACAAACATATACGCATGTAAGAAATGACGAATAAAGTTTACCTCTTTTGCATTTTCTTGAATTCCATGTACTGGAATGCATGCTTAGCAATGAGAACCACCCCAATTAGACCGAAAGCCGCAGACGCATACATGCAAAACCTGAAGGAAAACAAAAATACATATCAAAGACGCTTGAAATAGGTCCTTTTAATTTACATAAAACATACATACACTAGTAGCAAATTTGCTTATTACTGCGAAATTTTTTGCTACGGTAAAAAACCGTAATAAAAGGTATTTTTTACTACGGAACAATTTTGAAGTCGTAGTAAATACTAAGATTTACCGTAGCAAAAAAATATTTTGTACGGCCATTTACCGTAGCAAAGCTTTTGTCATGCCTGTATATGCTACTGGACAAATTTGTAGCAAATGCGTAGCAAAAGCCTTTTTAGTACGAATTTGATACGTTTTGCTACGGTTAATGATCGTACTAAAAAAAACTATTTTTCTACTAGTGATACAAGGAGAAAAACTAAACCTCGACGTTTCCCGAAAATTTTCAATAATCTCGCTGACTGATCTATAGGAGACGTAAAATGGGTGTCCTCCGTATAGTTTCTGAATAACAAAATTTCCTGCTTCATCCTTAATCACCTGGTAACATAAAAAAACCAAACAATGCATTCAACATGCATTTAAGGGGACAAGTACCATAAAATAATAAAATTAAATTAAATAAAATTAACTTTATATATATATACCTCACCAACAACCGTCAAGCATGTACCGATTGGGAGAACTCGCTCGATCTTGTGGACTCCTAAAGTCTATAAAAATACGATTACCTAATCACTTCAGCAACAATATGGGGAGTTAACAAAAATGTGGATCGGAGTTGAGATAATTACAAAAATATTATAAACCTTAGCACCAGTGTCTAATTGTATTTTCTCCTGAATTGGGGTTTGTATTGACTTCTCAAACACTTCCCCTCCACATGCCATTGGCAGACAAGTGAAAGTGAAATCCTCAACCGAACGGGCTTCAGCAACACGTACACGGCTAGTGCCATCGTCCTGTTGTCAATTAAACTCACTATAACGAAATTAAGCTTTTTAAGAGAAAATTTAGTAATTGTGCCCTATTTGATTAGAACAGCATATATAAGTTTATGCTTACCAGATACCAAGGAACTTCATTCCACACCGAAGACGGAAGAATTGATTCTTTTTTCCATTCTCCTCGGAAATTGCGTTCTCAGATATGAGTCTCTTCCTAA